GCAGTTGAATCGCCTTGCAGTCAGATCAAACGTCCTAAAAGTGCAAGGGAATGCTGAATCATGCCGCGAGGTTGTTACACATTTATCTTCTCTGTTGGTTTAATTGAACTTGCTTCTAAATGAAACCAACTGGCCGTTTCGATGCAAACAAAACATCATTAGCATTGTGGAAATCTCTTTGTAGCGTCTCTCCCACTCATTCCCCTTTTGAAATGAAAAGCCTTAAATGAGCTCTTTTCATCCTTGTAATTTTTTTTTCCTCCACTCAAGGCACTTTGTGACACCATTTATCACTTACCTCTGTTTGTTTGTCCTCTTTCTTTCTCCTGTTTATCGAGCCAGAGACTGACACAGATTCCACCCCCCACCCCTCATCATGTGTGAAGGTCTTGTTTGTCCCCGTATGTTTGTGTGTAAAAACAGCAGGACCTTCAGGATCGGGGAGTAAAATATATCTCGCAACACCAGCGTAGCGTGCCAGAGGTGTCTTGATGGAGATGGAGTCATACTGAGCTAATGAAGCTCCAAACCTCAGCTATCGATCCACCTCGCAATGGTGCTTTACAGAGATAACTGAGGAGGAGAGCAGTGTGTGGCCTCACGCGCGCTCTGATCTGTGTGACATCTAATTCTGTGTAATGAACCCTGTGCACCAGAGAGCATGATGGGGGGCTGTCTATGGTAATGACAGGGATAGCATGGCCTGGGCGGCTTTTGAAAAGCTTTGAAACACTGCCGGTTAGCTCGCAGGGCTCTCCTGACAGCGACGAATTTGTCACTAGAACAAACGCCTGCTTTTCCATTTCTCTACTTTGTAGCGCTACTATTGTGACTTTTCTCTGCTCTCTACTAACACCACCTATTTCATGCTTGTCCGTCCTTGAATAGCGATGCCTCCTCTGTTGCTCTCCCTCAGGTTTCTGCCATTTTTATTCTCATACAAGTTTTTGTGTAATGGAAGCTTTGTCTTGCCTGAATTAAGGGCACAGTCTTTTAACCACTCCTTCTGCTGAAATCAGAAAAAGGATGTGATGTAACAGCTCCAACTGATAAGTATCAGAGCAATGATGCAGTTTGTAGTCTAGTAGTGTGAAGGAAAGACTCTTAAAACCCACGTCTGGTTTCCTCGTCTTGAAGAACAGATAGATGGGTAAAATAAGGTACGGCGTGAAAGCAAGATTTTTTTTTTAACATTTTGTTCTATGACATAAAATACATCAGTAAATACCCCACTGGTGAATTTTGAAGCTGATACGTGTCTTAAAAACGTTGGTTGCTAACATGTGGCTAAATGAGACCACAGAGGTTGTCAAGGAACATTAAATGTCATCACACCACATGGAAACTCCTCTAGTCTCTAGTCTGCCTTTACAGCTGCGATGTGGTGGTGACGTTGAAGTCACACGAACGTTGGGTGACCAGATCCCAACAAACCAAATGTGGGACAAAGAGCATGTTTGTGTGGGACAATGTAGGACATGTTACGGATGCTGAGAAGTAGTCTGAAATTTTTATTTAATGTCTATCTAACTTTAAAAATTAACATTTCTATTCTGCCTCAATTGTACTGTGTCGCTTCATGTCATAGTGATTGTTTATTAGTTGCATTTCCTTTTCTTTGGTGTAGTTTCACTTATACAGTATTTTCACCAAGTCTGTGACTTTGTGGTGACTCGTTGGCTGTGGCATAGGCTACACGACCATGACCGCTACACCTGCACTTGACCCAGGTGTGCGCGCTTTGATTGACATCAAACAGAGGCCCTGTAATGGCCATTTTCCCTGCTTTCTTAACAGTCATTGGATAAAAGTCAGATTTCAGAAAAAGTGTCTGCCCTGCAGTGGTTTGAGTTTTGAAAACTAGAGCCAATCAAAATGCAAAACATCGTCTCAATATGTGGGATGTGGGACAAGGGATAAAAATGTTTGGTCATGCCTGGTCACTGTATGCAACAGTGGTGTACTTTGTTTATAACCAGGCGTTAGCTTTTTATTTTTAGAGATTGCGTTTGCGCTTCAAAAATCATAACAATGCTCATTTGTGGAGATTTTCTTGCTGAAAACAATGTTTAAGTATTGTAAACTTTTGTCACAGAGCTTATTTTCTGCAATAAACAAAAATCCAATGGAAAAATCTAATCGGCTTTTCATTGAGGGAGCTAGGGCAATGCTAACGTCCAAGTTGGTCTACAAAAAATATCTTCCCTGTAGCACTCCATTAACCAACAGAGGCCAAGAGTTGAACTAGGGTTAACTACAACACATGAGCCTGCAACAAAACAGGGAACAAATCCATGAATTTGTCAGTCATACTGGCCTTTGCTGAAGTGGGACTAAAATCGGTCTGAAAACACCTTTAAACCTGCATTAACTATTTTTGGCCACATGGACGCAGCACAACAAGGTGTTAACACAACATTGACATATCACATTATAGGTGGTTATGGCAGAAGTACAGCCTGCTTTCACCGAAAAAACGACCACATAGGATGACTGAGTAAGTATCTTATCGTGACCCATACTTACATTTAAGGCCGTGCCCTCTAGTGGCAGAAGTAGTAATTGTAGGAGCAGAGGAGGAAGTGACATGGTGAGTATAAAAAGCAACAAATTCCATGTAATGTTGTACAGGTGTCAAAGATGCCCAGATAGGTTGGGTGGGGGGTTCGTGGTTGGGTCAAACAAACACAGGATTTTCACCCAGGAGACCAGTGTTTGCATCCCAAAGTGAAGGTTGATTTGTTTTAACAACAGCATATAATACCTCGTATGCTATTATGTGTTGCATGCTACGGTGACGTGATGTGTCGTATATGACGTATGTACGTCACACATACATTTGTCATGTTAGGTTACTGACAAAAGCAGTTCTTAATGCCATACCATGATGTCTTTCCTAAGTCTAACCACATTAGCTTTGTTGCCTAACCAGGTAATTTTAAAGGGGAACTGTGACCGTTTTACGACACTAAGGACGTGTTTAGACCGGTAATATATGTCGTTTTGGGGCCACTCATCAAAATTGACCTATTCTGACGTTTAGGTTTGAGAGTATTGCAAAAGCAGCAAAAAAATGTCCTATTCACACATCCAACAGACACACAGCAACATCAGCAATTATTTTAAGTTGTGTCTCTGGCCACCTGGCAAACGGCAGTCCAATATACACTTTCCTTTTTAGTTTTGATTTAGTCCCCTTATCTCCTCATCAAGTCCTAAGGGAAATATGTGGCTCTTTAGCAGCTAAATGCTCCACTGTGATCACCTGCTAGTTGCTAACTGTGTCTGTCTGCTGTTTGGTGCTGGGCAGGTAGTGTAAAGTGGGATTATCAGAGCTGTCTAACTGAAAACAGCTGCCAGCTTTGTGTGGAAAGAACTGATGAGAGGCTAAACCTAAACAGTAAAATTTCATGCCATTAAGCAGAAACAATGAGATGAAAGATGCTAAAAAGCTACAAGAGCTGAAGGGAACTGATGAGTCGAGGGCTAATTCTGTGGTTTCATCCCCACCAGTGACCTCTTTGATATTGCGCTGTAATTTCATCCATTTTTCATATAAAATATTGATAAGAGCAACTTTTAAAACCCTCTGTGGGAAGCTGGTGATGTCTGGCCATATAAATAAACTTGACTAAGATCTGGGGATTTGATAAAATTTAGTATGATTGCAGTGGCCATAAAATTCTTTTCACTGAAGTGGTGATGGCTTAAATTCCCTCCATCATTCCTGAGTAATAGGAAGTGTCAAACAAAACCTTCATGATGACACAGTACTTTGAACACTCCCCTTTATCCCTGCAGAATTAAAATAGACCTGAGAAGAAAAAAAAAAGCTTTTCCTTTTCCATGACCACCTCTGCTGTGGGTGCAAATGAAAATGCCCTTCCCAAAATAGATCATTTTTACCCTTCAGATGTCCACTTTTATTTTAAGCCCGGTGACACCATGCCATCCATCACACCCAGCTTTTCAGATGTGAGCAGCCCCGGGGAAAACACTGATACAATGCAGGGGAAAGTGTGATAGCTTGCTGCTGCTGTGTAGTTAGGACCTCTATGGTTAGATTACCACTAATTTCATCTCAAAGTAGCATTTAGACATTTTCTTTGTGCGAGTAAAGTGGAAGTCATTCCTCTTTTTAGGGTAAACATTGAAAATGGATGCCCTGCCTTTCCAACTCTTCCCTCAAATTACCACTTGACATGGCCAAACATTGCTCCGCATTATTGTCTGCCAGGAAAATGCATTTCTGAATGCTTTATTGAATGTTTTGGCTGGGTGGAAATTGTACGAAGTGTACCCAGTGCTTTGATCATCTTGACCTGGAAATGTGATAGTCACCCCACTTCACAGGACTCTCTGACACCTGGGAAACTGGATCTGATATTCTTGATACACGATCTGCACCGCAGCACTAAAGACTTAACTTCTCCTGTTTCTGAGTCGGCGGAGACTACTGATGGGAACTGGAATTTCACATGGCTCAGACTGAGGCTGTTTTTTCCCCACAAGCCACTGGAGTCACAACATTTAAAGCCTGGTGGAAAAAACGGCCTGTATGATTTTTATGAACAAGATTCCTGCAGCTTTACTTTCACTTAAAACACAAGCACACACACAAGAAAGTTTTTATGTGTAGATGGAGTGTTTTTGTTTGTTTTTTTAGTTTTTGTGCACCAAAGCTGATAAAATATTTTGACAGATGTTGTGAGGCTACATCTGGATGTGCAAACTGGAAGACAGATTTGGACTTCACTTTCTTTGAGTCATCAATTAGATGTTTGTTGTTGTCATTTAGCTTTTTTGATATAAATATATTCATTTTTGAGTTAGTTTTCACGGTGTCGCGAAGTGTTTTGTAGTGGAGGTGCACCTAACATCATAAATTAATACACTTTATTGAATTAAAACATAAAACCCAGGAGAAAAACTGCCGAAGCACTGTTTAACACAGTACATGCAATATATTTAATAGGTGTGAAAATTGTTTAGGTCTTCATTTTCTAACTAAACTGATCATGAGATGGTGCATCAATAGTAAACCATTATTTCATCATGATATGATATTATATCTATTCTTTGGACAATGATACATATTTACCAATATAAGTATTTTATAATACGATTTCAATGCGATTCATTTCAGGGACCTGCAGTCCACATGAGACGATGTCATGTGGTCATTTAACACAGTTGGTCAAAGAACAAGCTGCCATCCCTTTCATTGTGGCTTTTGGCCATTAAAGATGCAAACAACACATAAATAATTCTAGCCAGTTAAAGGTCCAGTTTGTAGTATTTAGGGGGACACATTGGCAGAAACGTAATATAAGTATGTTTTTTGGGGGGGGGGGGTATAGTCACCTGAAAATAAGAATCGTTGTGTTTTTGTTACCTTAGAATGAGTCCTTTATCTCTACAAAGGCAGCAGGTCCTCGTCTACAGATATCGCCATGATGCATCGTCATGTTTCTACAGTAGCCCAGAATGGACAAACCAAACACTGGCTCTAGACAGAGCCATTCGTCTTTTTGTGTCAGCCACTGTAGTTAGTGGCCTCTCAGCTACAAACAGCATTTGAAAAACACTAATGTATTAACTTAAAACTCTTTTATTTAGTGTTTTTAATCAACTGGTCCTTTGTTTTGGAGAGGAGGAGACCTCTGTGGATAATTCAGCTCACTGTAAAAATCTCTTGAACGTCTGGATCAGAAGAAAGTGAGCATATGTTAGCAGGTGCTGGGCTCACTGCCCGTCTGCGATGAGCTGAAGAGCGTCAGAGAAACACTAGTCCGTTTTACACTGCCAGATTTTTGGCGAATGTTGGGACGTTTAGTTTAAAAAGACCGAGGTGGCCTTCCGCAACGGGAGGGGCTGTTGAAGACTTGTGGGAGGAGCTGTTGATGACGCTGCATGTGTGAGCCACTGGCAGTGGATAAACGGGAAACAGCTGATAGCAGGAATTAGCGAGCAGCTAGTAGCAAGAGGGAAACACAAACCTGACAGACACTGTAAAGATGAGCAACTGGGGAGACAAGGAGTTGCGTGCCCTCCTTGCTACTAGCTGCTCGCTAATCGCTAAATCTTACACACTGTTCCTTTAAGTGTTGTATAGTTTAAGTTGATTTCACGAACACACATAAAACATGGCTTAACTACAAGAACTTTTAATAGAAGTATGAAATGTGGCTAAGAAATAACTGTTAATGTAGAAGAAACAATTGTTTTTTTGCTAGTCACCATTAGTGGCATTTTCACACTGCATGAGTTAGCCTAGCCGCTAGCGAATTTTATCTTGACTCAAAGCTTAACTAATTACATGTATTATTTATACTTTTCCTTATGCATCTGGTTTAAAGTCACTGCATGCATGTTTTTCAGCCTAACATTGTTGAAACAGAGCAGCTGAGCTGAAGTTAGCGAAGTAAGATGCCCGGTCAGGCAGGTGCATCATGTTTCCTGAGTATTTTGTCTCGCAACAGTATTGTTTACAAGTGGCATGTGTTTTGTCTGTTGACCCGTCTTTTTTCTGAAAATATATCCAAAATATTTTTCACACTGCTGATTTATTCCCGAGAGTAATAAATATCCTCATTGTCTTTTTCTTGGCTGCTTGCCATTATCTGCCTGGCACTGTTTGACAGTGACACAGATGTGCCATGCAAATTTCAAAATAAAGGCATATCTTAAAGATGACAATATGAATTATTGTTTTCACTTAGCAATAATGATATTGGATTGCTGACCACTGAATCGATACATTGACGGACTTGTTAGTCACCTAATCAAGATGTTGTTAGCTAAACAACTTTTAAGGAGAAACACAGATATAGTTTTGAAGATAAATGTGTATAGTTCACATTTAGCATTTTAAATCCATTCACACTGTAACATGTTATCGTTTGGATTGGAATGATTGTGTTTTTGGTAAACGCATCACATCAAATTGAAATGAACCTTGAGTGCTCAATAAGAATTCAGTGTTTGAGTATTGTTTTAGTATTACATGGATATAATTTGTTCAGGAATCAGGTCTGAGCTATTTAATGTGATGGCACTGGCAGTGGTAGTGGAGTTAGAAGTAAATTACACAGAGCCAGTGTGTGATTAGAGAAGCTGTGACATGGCTTTTAAAGTTCACCACCCCTCAAGATATTTGATCAAGCCGCCGGCCTTTGATCAGTGTTAACATTACGGTAACCATGACAGTTTATTTTCAACTACCAAAAAAAAAAAAGACCATTTGTGTCAGAAAACAATCTCCCCTTCCTCTGACATGTTGGCACGCCGCAAAAGAAAAATGTCAGGGTCAGTGATGGGCCATTAGCCCAGAGTGAGTTCCTTTTGTGCTCCCAGGTCCATTGAAAACACCTTTTTAGTCTTCAACAGATGGTACCGTGACACAGCAACCACAGGCGCTGACCTGGGCCTTAACTTAAAGACAAAAAAACCACAGGACATGCAGCACCGCAGAGGGACAAGAATGTCTTCCTAGAGAGAGAATGACACCATGAATGTGTAATAAAAAATTCACCTGCTTAGCACGGCTGCATTGTAATGCCTTGTACATTTGATTGACTACACAGTCACCCTCTATTCATCGGTGTTATACCCTTTTCTTTTTCATGGAGGTCGCTCCTCCGTCGCTGCAAATGTCATAGTGCTTTAATGAGAACTGCACTGTAGCCCACAATGGAAGCTTTTCAGCCAGATTAAATGTATCACTGTGCTGAAACTTTCCTTTCCTCTCTCGCCCCTTTGCCCCTATTGTGACACAGTGGTTTTACAGAGCAGCTTGTTGCTGAAAAACAAGGTTAAGAAGATCAGTATCAAAGGAGGAGTGTTTTTGTGTGGCTTGCAGGAGAGTCTCGCTTCAGGTTTCCACCTGAAACACAGAGGTGTTTTCTTACCTGATTTGTATTCATTCACACAATGAGTGGAGCTGCTTCTCTTGTTTCCAAGTAAGGAGAGTCCAGACGAGACTTTTGTTCGCCCTATCATCGGATACGTGCATGTTGCTTCCTCCAGTACGAGCCTTGGAGCCCAGCCACAGGCTTTGTCCTGGATGGATTTTTTCCTGCCCTTTTTCCTCTTCTTTGTTGCTCTGTGTGTGCTCTAAGAAACCATTTCAGATAAATGTTTGAGCACCACTGCTTTTTTTTTTTCCCCCCTCTTTTGGCTCCTGTGTTATTTCAATAATACCAAGCTTTGTCACCCTAAAATTGCCTTGTCAGGATCCAAAACCCACAAATTAGCAGTTTAAAGAGTTTCAGTCCATAGGAGCCTGCAGTTCAGTCCATTGTGGCTCATGTTGTGCTGTCAAAACACAGATAATGCTGCCGGTACAGATTAATGTGTTTCAGCTGAGGTCAGTCAAACTGTCGAAGACATCACTTAAGTAAATAATATTCTTGTTTTCAGGGGTTTTTCCTGACCGTGTCCCCGGAGTCCATCCTAAAGGTGGCGAAGCATGCTTCAGATAACAACAAAATCTTCTGCATGAACCTCTCAGCACCTTTCATCAGCCAGTTCTTCAAAGAGCCCTTGATGGAGGTCATGCCTTACGTCGACATCTTGTTTGGCAACGAGACGGTAAGTAAAACGAGACGTGCTCAGTCAGGCCTCTTTAGGACAGATAGTCTGTTTGCTAACACATTGTTTTGATTATGATGTATAGTACACGTGTTTCTATGTGCACGCTTACATTTATCTTCACAATGAAGGTTATATTTTTAGTTGTCTCTGACTGTTGTGTTTTTGGTCATTTAGTCAGATGTCTCAAAAACATTTTGACTGAAATGTCAAAACCACAGATGTTAGCATGCTAATATGCTAAATTCAAATGTTGAACATGGTAAACATTATACCTGCTACATATTCGCTTGTGATTGTGAGCATATTGGCATGCTGACATTAGCACTTAGGTGCTAGAGCTGCTAGCATGGCTGTAGACTCTTATACTTGTTTTTTATTACTGCTACAAATGAAGTAAATATTTGAATGAGCCTGAAAGAAAAACAACTCTTTTTATGATTTTTATTATGCATTACCTCAGCCATACCCAAACGACATCAAAGAATCGGTGGCAGCAAAGGCCGACTGTTGTGTCGCCTCATGTCGCCTGTGTCCCAGCCAAAAACTTGCATGTGAACACACCGCAAGGACTACAGTCAGCAGTCGACTAGCACGTACGTTCTGCAGCTGTGTGACAGGAAATAACTCACCATACCAGCAGAAAGCTATAGTCTGTATTCTTCATTCAAAAGAGCAAACCGGAAGATCGACAGGACATATTCAAGGTGTTAGTTAGCGAGTTAGCACATTAACAACACAACCAGATGTTGTCAGAACAAAGGGTACTTACAAACTGTTCCTGCTAAAGAGCTCAATGGCTAAAAACATAATGTTACCTAATATAACAAGTTAATTTGACTAAAGCAACTTGTTTGTTTTCTTCACTTCCATTTCTCCTCGTGGGCACTGAGCTGAACTGTCAGTCAGAGTGATTTCACTCACCGTCGGGCTCCGCCGTCGATTCAACATGCTGAATCAGCCAAAAAACAGCCGTCAGGGGCCAGTTAGTGCCAATGGTGCATGACAAACCACAGAAATAAGGAGACAGACGCTCACTGTTGGCCCGACATTAATCAAAAGCCGACCAAGCTTGGTGTGTCAGGGCACCTAAGTATAATTTTCCAGATTCTTGTAGACATAGCCTATTTGATGTAAACTTAGATAAGACAAGTTAAAGGCTGCACTACTGAAACCCAATCTTGATATTCATTAAACCCCTAAAAGCTCATCTTTGTTCATCAAAATTACATATTGTGGGGTGTCGGTGGCTTAGTGGTAGAGCAGGCACCCCATGTACAGGGCTGTTGCCGCAGCAGCCCGGGTTTGACCCCAGCCTGTGGCCCTTTGCTCCATGTTTCTCCCTCTCTCTCTACCCCCTTCACACTTCACTATCCTATTAATTAAAGGCAGAAAAATGCCCTAAAAAATATCTCTAAAAAAAATAAATAAAAAAATTACATATTGTAATAGCTTAGATGTAACTTCACATCTTTCCTCATGTAGTTCGGTGGATCTATGAATGTGCAATTAGTCCCTGCTTCTGTCTCCACCTGCCCCTCAGCAACTCGCCTGAAGCTCAAGCGTACCTGCTCACCTTTGACTCTGCTCATCAGACACACAAACCTCTGCTTATAGACGGTAATAGGTAACTTGACTATGTATCAAACAGCTGATAATGTGTTGCTAATTGATCACCAGCTCTGACAATTGAAACAAAAGTGAAACTTAGCTGACAAAATACTGATAGGTAGCTACATCTGGCTCCTTTTTTGGTAACTATTGTTTTACTGTAATGTTATAGGATTGGTTCCTTTGGTTTGTGATGTAACAGACTTCCACTGATACATGGCAGCTTAGGGGAGGGATGCTCAGCCCTGGTGTTGACTGCTTATTTCGCTAATGACATGTCTTGTAGCATATAAAAAACAACATATGGACATGTTATCAAGGTTAAAAACTTGATTTTCACTGGAGTGAGTCTTTAAATGGCCCTGACTCAGCGGTCATAAGTGTGTTTTGAATTTAAGCACAATTCATCCTTGTACAAACCCTGATATTCCCAGTCAGGATTAAGGTTTTCTCCCCAAAAAAGCCAAACCTGCTGGATGCAGATTAAACACCTCTGAGTATTTTCCATTATTTATACAACAAATTCAAAGGATTTTGCAGTCGCAGTAGGGTTATGTGTTCTCTAAGTGCTTTAAAGTTTATATATATGTTTCAACTCACCTTGTTTAAAGCAAAATCAAAATGTCATGTTCACTGTTTCACTCCACTCGTTGCTCTCCTCAGTATCCATTTAACTTCTCACTTATCACTGCCCCATAAAGAGATGAATAAGAATTAGCCCCAGTAATCATTCATCTCAATCGCGTCACCATTTCATGCCAGTTGATCTATTGATTTTTTTCGCCTCTGTGGAAGTGAGCGGCTGGTTGGGGGTCAAGCTGTGGTCACAGACCGTGGTGCTGCTGGGAAGTATCCTCTAACAGGCCAGCTGAGCTTGACTCTGAGGCACCGCCTGGACAAACTGCACCTTCAGGGTGGGAGAGAGGGGAGGAGGGGAGTGGATGATCACTGGACTGAACTCGCCTCCCCACTGCTAAAGCTACTAAACAGAGCCCTGTGTTCGGGTTAGAGATGGGGTCCACAGACCAGGACAGAGCTGGAAGAAACTGCTCAGCATTTGAGGATTTATTGCTGTTGCTGACTTCAGCTTTTTCCTCTTTTCTTTCCTCTCCCAACACAAGACCTCCCTTTTACATATGCACATCTCTCTCGCTCCCTAATTGCTGTGAGGAACGATTCTGTCTCCTAAACCACAGTGTACATTTTGCAAGCGTTATGTATTTTCGGGTGGGTGGTACTGTAACTGTTTGCTTAAGAAGTTTGCTCACACCTCCAGTCATTACAGTTTAATGACTCTGGATAATTGCAATGCATGTTTGTTGAAGGAGATTATCTTTTGGAGTCTCTGTCGGGGCTTGCTCTCCGGAATTGAACCCGGCTAAGACCGCCAAAATAAGAGATTCAGTGGGAAACAGAGCAGATATTCACAGCTTGCCTGCCTCAAGCAGTGAGGTCTTCCAGGGTCTATATAGGACTAATGCCTGTCCAGAGTGTTTTGACTCCTTTTGGCCTTCCTCTGTGTTGGCTGCTGGGAGGAGGGAGTGGGGAATGACTGCTCATACAGTCGAGCCCCAGACCTCCCATTGTGCACAAGCCAGACAAGGTTGGCGGTCATGCAGTGGTGCATGGTGAGTGACAGGCAACAGGGCTGCCTCGCCCACGCTCGCCCCCCTCCGGCCCCCCTGGCCGTCCTCTCACCCCAACTTCCACCCCCCAAAGTGATGGATCAGCCTCAGCCAGCGATGCTTTCATAACAAGTCAGTGACAGTCAGGATCACGCAGACTGACTCCTATAGCCTTGCAGAATGTGCCATAAGGGGAGGCTAATGTGTCTGCCTGTCTCTGCCTCCCTCTCCCACTCTTACTGAGTCACGATACAGAGCTGCACACACTTGGGGGAATATGTTAAAAGCAGCTGTAAGATTTCATGTTTTGAAAGTGACTAATAATAATTTTGGGGAAGATTTTGAGAATGGAGTGCTGCATTATTTGTCATGACTAGGGGATCTTGTTTCACTCAGATTTCCTTTTTGATCGTTTGAAATTCCAAATCAGACGTGCAACACCACAGCCTCCAAAAATATGTCAATAGCCTCTGTTTCCTCCCTTGTTTTAGCCTGCTTCTGATGTTGAATTGTGTCTGTGTGTCTGACTGAGTCTACCCTTGGTAATTCTGCTGTAACTCGATCCTGCTGGTACTTGTTTGAAACCTGGCATCAGCAGGCCCTGCCTGGCCTATCGGCAGCCTCGTACTTATATAACAGTCTCCCATCCATCCTGTAATTACTGCCTTTTTGGGGCATAGTGTAGTGTCTGTTCCTTCACTGGTGGGGGGGTGGAGAGGCTAGCGACGCCGTCTCTGCGTTGCCAAGGCCTCTGAGATGGTGCCGACAGAGGCACATAGACATCAGACGCTACTCCACTTAATTGGCAAACATGTCGTGTGATAACCTGGGAACAGCACAGGCCTAATTGAGTCCTCCTGCGCTGTCCTCCTCTGACTACCTGACATGGAACCCAGGGCATTACATTTCCCTCCATTTAATGGCTGCAGTTAATTAGGCCCGAATGAGGGAATCATTACCGCTGGAAAAACCACATGCCAGTGGATTCGCCGATAAAATTAGCCACAATTTGCTTTTGCTATTTGAGCATAAGAGATAAACCACACAATAGGGGGGAAGGATTGGACCATTACTGCCAGATTTGTATTGTGGAATTTTAGACATATCATAGACAAATGGAACGATTAATCAAGACTGAATTAATCACCCTGACTGATGTTTTTTTAAGCCAGGATTCATGGCTTTCTCAATTTAGATCATTTCATGAGCTAGGGCTCCTTCTTTTTTTTTTTCTTTTTTTTTTATCTGCGCAAATGGTTTAAAAATATGCTTCCTTAATAAAACGGTACCGCAGATGAGGAGCTTAGTTTTTTTGCCCCACAGCCAATACCCAACAACCTCCTCGCTCCCCTGCCATTAACATTATATACCACCCCCATACAGGAGCTCTTCGTGCCTCCCATTGCCGTCCAATGTGTTCTGCAGCTCCACACTCAGAGGGAGCTTATTTTTATGGGTCCCAGCCCCGTCTTCCAAACGAGAGACAGCCATTGTAATTGAATACTCAATAGGTGAGCCATTTAACAAAAGTGGAAATGGCATTCGGCTATGTATTAATGTGCTTTGCTGAGGCAAAAGGAGCCATCATCATTTCAATGTTCAAGCTGTTTTAAAAGAGCATTTAGCCTGCCATCTCTCCAGGCCATGAGAGCAAAATGACACGGATTTCTTCTTCCTCTGTACTTTGTGTGAATGTTCCTCGCCTAATATTTTGTATGGTTATCTCGCTTATTTTCCCATCCATCCCTCAGCACCTCTCCCTGA